TACCACAATTTAATGTTTTGCTGTTGTTAGGTTTGATATCTTAGCTCACTGCAAATCAAACGTATAGATCTAGAATCTAGATGTAGGTCAAGCTCAAATAAGGGGGATGGGAACTACCGAAAAAGCACCGATAGGCCTAGTGTGACTCCGCCAATTCACAGGCGAGTAGTCGAGATTTAGATCATCTACTTTCCGAACTGCACACTCTTGGCTGGGTGCACAACAAAATCTAGATCTAGATTCTAGATCTAGATACGTCTATTCATTAAATACTCTCTCTCTCTCCCCCCCCTCCCTCTCTCTCTCTCTCTCTCTCTCTCTCTCTGGGCTAAAATAAATAAATTATAGTAACACTAGATCGACACACCGCCCGAGATTATCAGTAGCCTTGCATTGTAACCAATGTAAACTACCGCTCGCTCAGCGAGCCAATCACAATCCAACATTTTTGGGGTCCACCTAGACACCATGACTACGTAGACCCCAATCGGGGAGTACGCAGACTGTAGACACTTCCATATATTAATGCAGTTTCTTTCAACTTTTGAATCGTACACTTTCTGACAACTTTGCTTATATTTACGTTATGATAGTTTTGTTTGGGGTTTGTTTCGCGGAGGGAGACATGCGGATAGCACAACTTGTAAATTAGCGTGGCTAAAAGTAATAAGTAAAGGAAAACAATCCAGATTTTCCCCAATTCTCAATCTGACTTCGACAGGCATGAAAATGTTGTTTTCATGTGAGACTCTAGAATGGATCCTCTTGTCCAGTTGACGAGGCCATTTGAACTTTGTTGGTACGGACGTATTTCGCCAGCTGATGTCAGTATGGTATAAAAAATGTGTGTGTGTGTGTGTGTGTGTGTGTGTGTGTGTGTGTGTGTGTGTGTGTGTTTGTGTGTGTGTGTTTGTATGTGTAAGAAAGGCCGAATGTGATCGCCATAACTTTGGCTGAGTTATTTCTCGGTAGAAGGTGCATTTTTTTCCTTTTAAGATATTCCCTTTTTTTAAAGAAGCATACTGCGCACCCCCCCCCCCCCCCCCCCC